AAAGGCCCAAGCACATACACATACCTTCACACACCCCACCATATAATAATTGCTACCATCACTATCTCTGGCAGGTGCTGGCTTTGAAAGAAAGAAGCACACACAGTCCTCACCGCTAGCCAAATTTTCAAAACTATGTACAGCTTAAATAATCACAAACTGATTTCAATTTGTTTTAAGAGTAAGGCTGAATCTTTAGACTACAGTCCTATTAAGTCCTGGGTTAGCTAATAAAATAACATTGATCCTTCTTCTGTTTAATTTATGGTTTTCAACATGAATTTACAGGGGATAAAGCTTGTCCAAGCATCAAAGTGCAAGGCTCCACCTCCTTTTGCTGATAATGGCTCAGCATTGGAAGTTTTATTTAATTTGCTGTCTGCTAACTTCCCTGTATTCTTCCTTCCTAATTATATCCATCCAAATGAAACTTTGTTTTATTTTAATTTTCTTTCAACACCTACCTTGACTAAAACAGAGGCTGAAGTGGTGCTAAAATAAGCAGGAACAAAGAGTTTGAGGAATTACAATTTGATGACAATAAGAGCATTTTAGGGACCCATTAGAATTAAGCCATTGCAGGAAAAATTTCATCTTTCTGGGAACATGGCTTCATCCTTATCAAATACATCAACAGAACCTTTAGGATTCACAAACACTTAGCAGCACTGAGGCTCTGCTTTATAGCCATAATATACCAAAGATGCAAAAAATATTCTGGATACTCTTGAAAACTATGATAAGGAAGAAATACAAGATTCCTGCCTCTTAAGATCTGACTAGCCCGCAAAAACATAGGTTAAAATGTCATGTCAGGGTAAGAAATCCTATCAAGGGTGTTCATCAACCTGAGATCTATGCCTTGAAAACAGAGCAGACTTCTAGGCTATTTTCAAGGGGACTGTTTACACAAAAGAGAATTGCTGGTATCTATAATCCATGCTGTGTAGGCAACGCTTGCTTCCAGTAGTGATATAACTTTATCTACTGATAGGACAAAGATACAAGGAGAATATTACATAATAAAATATGCACTTGAATTTTATCTGTAGTCCCATTTTTATTTGATTTTTTTAAAAAGAGAAGCAGACTTGTGTGCAGAATATTGATTTTTTTCCTTCTCTGCCAATAGTTCAAGTAGGTAACACACATGGAATAAGATAGTGAATCCAAGATCAGAGAAAGAAACACTTGCTATCTTTTAAAATTAAAAGTTTTACTGATTACTCCCTAAACAGGAAACTCCTTCCATTTGTATCACTTCTATGACTATAGCAGATAGTAAATTGGCAGTCAGCACAGTGACTTCTCCTTTCACAGAGCCTTTGGCAGAATAATTGCCATAACACATTCCAAGACATACAGCAGGTTTGTATCTTCACCCTTCTAATTGTTTCTTTGCCATCAACAGTTAAGATACCCTAAGACAGAAAAGAGAATGGAACTTTGCTAGAAATGCTAGAGGACTTGCCATATGGAGTGTATGGGATAGTGGTAATGGTATTTGAAATCCCTGCTGAAAAAGCAATTCAAATCAGAGAGCAAGTTCTGCTTGCCTTGTCTTTTTTTAAATAATCTTTTTATTTCTAAGGTTCTTAGCTACCTACTTGATACTTATTCAACAGCTTTTCAGACACATTACTGTTCGAGCGCAGGCTTTAGGCAACTCTCAAAAAATATCGTATCTTTACTGAGCTTAGCCTAAAGGTTAATCATAAGTCAGTCCCACAACAAATACAGCAAGATGATGAGTTTTGAGGTAGGTTATTTAATCTGAACCAAATACCATCACACTGAGTCAAGATACACAGAGTAAAGGAACAAAGTAAATGGGACCAGACAAAAGAGTAGGCAGCTTCTCAAGTGAAGTGAAAACCACAGAGAAAAAGCCCAGTACCATGGATGGCACTGGAGAGCTTACTTACCTGGACTGTAATTATACCTTCAGAGAAAAGAGAGATCTTTAAAAACTCAAACTAAAAAAAATACTCTCTTCTCTCTCACCTACAGGCAAGCCAGATTCAAAAGAAGTGTTAACAGAGGTGAAAGACTTTTTACATGAAGATAACTGTGACAGGGAAATAAGAGTCAAAACCCAGATAAGTGATAGACCATCCTGAAGTGTAAACAGACCTACAGTACATCTTATGATAACAAAGAAGTCACTTCTCAGCCACAACAAAATTTTGGGCAATTTCAAGACATATAAACTAGAGATATATTTACCAGAAAGAGTTATGCATATGTTTATAAAGATCAAATGTTCCATTACTGTTTGCAATTCACTTTCACTAAGCATGAAATATAATTTCCTTCTGTATTTCTTCTTGTTCTTCCAATAGCTTAAGATCATCACTTTCCTTCTTTTCTATTAACCAATGATTCTGATATAGAATATGCTCTATATTTTCATTTATATATTAATTTGATACACATACATCAATATATAGGTAGTGTAAGTAATACAGCATCCTAAACTGTTCACTTTGTTTTCCTTTAGCAGAATTTCCCCCAAATTCTGCTAAAGGAGAATAGTATGTGTTGCAGAAAACCACCTTGCTCATGAGATATGCATAACCAGAGGAACACCAAGCACTCACCACTCACTATTTCACTACTATTGCCTGTTATCTACCAGTCTGACACTATTCAATAAACCTGTATTACAAAGAGGAAGATCACATGCAGTAAGTATATACAAAAAGCATTATGTATATATTTAACAAATATGTTTAAAAGAGTAAGGATTCCAGAATTTTTTTTAAGTTCCAAGTGTAAGACAAGCATTGAAACACTCATAACAGTCACTCATATTTATGAGGTAACAAGTCCCCATTACAGATTTTGGAAACTAAGTAATTCAAATGCTTTACTGCAGTATCAGAAGCATGATGAATTCTGGAAAACAGATTTGTTCATATGGAAAAAAAGAAAACACATCCAAAATTATTCACAGAGTGAATGCACAGTCTTGATGCTATCAAACAATTAAAAAACCCCTCCACAACCTAACAGTAAACACAAATATGAAATACCAGCAGTGCTTTTAGGGAAGAAGTATGGGAACATCTATGTTTTCTATCAGGATGAATTAACTATTTTAAGAACTTTGTATTTTAGCAGGTTGTCTGAATGCACAGGAACTTTGCACACTTACATTATACTACAAATCTAGATTAGGGAGCTAACTTAAATCATTTCTATGCAGCTAATGAGATAAGCTATTTCTTAAGAATATTATTTTAGACAGTTAAATACCAGCAGAAGTATTTTATTCTTGGAAGCAACTTTATCCGGTTAAAGGGAGGTAATAGCTAAGACCAACCAGAACAGATAAAAAAAAATTTTTGAAGATCACAATCAACAGATCACAAAACTATTTCTAATCTAAAATAGAACAATAGTATCTTTAAAAGGATCATCACATGCTGCAGTTGTCTCTTGTTTAGGTGTCTAAACTCATTAAACTATTGGTCCTGCAGTTAACCATTCTTGAGAATGGCTGGTTACTGCAGAAGGGAGATTACAGTTTTTACAAACAAAATAGCACAACTCAGTCTGGAAAATGCATTCTTTTCCTTTCTGGACATCAGACAGACCTGCTCATTTTCCCTGTGATCTGTGAGCTTTTCTTCAAAGGAAGAGATGCAAACTTTTCCAGCTCAGATTTCAGACTAACCTGGTAATCATGCAGAAGCAAAATGCATGTGGGCAGGAGAAATTTAGCCATAAAGCCTTCCTCCACAGCTAAGGTTTCACTGCCAGGGAAATCAGTGATGCCCTGAGCATTAATGGACTCATCTCGTTCCCACAGCATGCTTGGCCAGCATGTAACTGCACTGGTTGCTAGGGAGCAGCGAGCTCATTACACAGCATCACCAGCACCCTGCACAAGGATGCTGGCACACGCTCCCCAGCTGGGACACTCGGACTGGGGAACAGCACTGCAGGGCCTGCCAGCCTCCACTCTCCCAGGGCAGAGCATGCCAATACAGCAGGTGCTAACTTTAACTCTACCTTCAAGGTTTTACATTCTGCTTTCCTGAGCCAGCCTGCGCAACACAGCACACAGAGAGGTCAGAATGGTCTCCACAGCTATTGGCATGGATACCCCTTACTTTTAAAGGTCAATTCTAGACAAAGATGTTTCTAGACAAAGATGTCCTGAAGTTTTGGCAGACATATGATTTCCGTCACCAGAGCAGTAAGTGCCACTATTCTAAAATCCGTGCTAAAGGAGAATTCAGTAAAAATGGGAAAAGGCTGAAAAAATTATTCTTTTCAGTTGTTAAAGAAGCACAGTATTTTGAAGCATTTAAATAAGATAAACAGAAACCTTGTGATCTCCAGGCTGTACACAGTAGATTCCTAGAATGGACATCAGCTGTGAACAATCTGGGTCACTTCAAAGTCTAAACATGCAACCTTAATGCATTTTTTCACCTATTTGTCTCATTAGCACTCCACAGATCTCTTCAAAATAAAAGAAAAAAGATCTGCCACAGAATAAAGAAGTCATCCCACTTCTACATGCCAGAAGATTTATTAACTAACAATCTATCTGCATTACACAGAGATTGTAGCTAATGATTTTCCTGTACCTGTCACTTCAAATGCCATCCAAGGATTCCTTGTGCTGGTGAATTAACAAGCACATAAGGGAATACAGCTGTAGATATGCATAGATATCTATACATTCAAATCCTTAGGCAACTTCAAAATGCCTTTTTAACAACCGCATAAAGAAACATAAAAAGGAATTAAATGGAAGGCAAATTGGGGTAATTCACTCATCAAAGGCACAGAACAACAGCTCTGTTTGAGGGGGATAGGTAAACATAGAAGTATCAACTTTCCCCCTTACCTGAATTTAAGAAGACCAAGACACAAAAATGCTCACTAATAACATATAAAATAATGTCATGGACACTCATGTATCAGTAAAATGCATTTCAAAATAAGTGATTACTTTGAAGCAGAAATACATAACTAAGCCTTACCTGTCTCAACAATTTTTCAACAGCTGACATTACCATGAGCCCTCTCCACACAACTGGGGCAGTCTCTTCTATCAAGAAACCCATAGACATGCTGCAACAACAAACCAGAAACTTGAGCTTTACAGCACAATACCAAGTACATCTGAAAAGAAGCTTGATTTAAATAAAAACATATGCTCACCATGCGATTCCATAGTTCTTAAGGGGCCTCATTAGATTTTCTAAAACAAAAGCAAACAAGGGGGTTTTTTTTGGAGGGGAGATGGTTTTAGGGTATTTTGGGTTTTTTTAAAAAAATAAGCTTACACTTTTTTTTATCTTTTAAGAGCAATTTTCCCTCTCTATTTAAATAGTTATTTTTCCCCCTCATCCCTTCATTAAATGTATGGATTTATCTATTCTGCCCAAGAATCTGACTCCACTTTTTGTTAGGTTGTTACATTTTACTAATACCATTCATCTTTTGTCAGAATAACAATGTATTTGCCCATAAAATAATGTCACTTTGTGCTGCCAAAATCAATCTATTTTTATGAAATCTCTGTGCTGGAAGGCATAGATTCCCTATCAGGAATCACTAAAAGCTGAGTCATTTATATTGGAACAAAACCAAATTCATACAACATGGTGAGATTTCAATTCTTATTTTTTAATCTATTCTATTCACCAATCTCATGAATCAGAAGAGTACTCCCACTAACATACCAGAGATTTGGGGGATTTGTCTCCTTCTGTTAAATCTGCCACAGAGACCCCAGAGTAGAGATACCAAACAAAACCATCCCTAAACTATACATTGTCGACAGCTCCAGGTAATTAGTCCCAGATTTCTTCAGGCTGATAGAAATCTGCAGGACTTCTAAAGTTTCTGTAAGAACAAAAGATTCTTATTTGAATGTTGCAGATGTATTGTCCTTGTCATACATCTTATTCCTATGCCTCCAGTGTCAAGAATAAAAAGCAGGGAGGGAATATTGTAATTGTTCTGCTGGCAAAGGGGTGTGCAAGCAGAAAGCAAACAAAATAATTAAAAAGAAGGCATTCAAAACAAAATATCACAAAAGCCAAAACTCTTCCTTGTGGTTTCTACCATCTAAATCCACACCTTATCTCAAAATGGCACACACACTCACAAAAAAGAACAAATAGCATTTTATTTGGTCTAGCTGATATCTCGGAAGAGCATGCACAGGCAGGGACTAGCACAAAATAGGAAGAATACTTTAAACAACAGAAAATATACTATAATGCAGATTTTGACAGAAATCCTTGATGCACCCAAAGTAAAATACATAGAGTAAAATAAAAACTAAGTGAGTAAAATAAACAATGTGAGTAAAATAAAAACAGAGCATTCAAAGCTGAACTCCAAATTCAGACAAAATAACAACCAAGAGCACACAAATTCAATAGCTGAACTCTACAGATGAAAGCTTTCAAGCAATCAAGTAAGTGAGCATTCAAGCCATGTAATTTTGTAGAAATATGGTGGAGAATAAATTGGATGTTTTGGTTTACAAATCAAAAAGAACAAAACAGAAAGATAAACAAATCACTTGTATGACTACTGCATTCAGGAATGAGTTGGGAGCTATTGCTGAAAAGAGATTGGCTTGGACTGATACACTGCACCAGTGCATACAGCTCTTCTTGACTTGTGCAGCTCTTCAGTGTTGACTCAGGACTTGCTTTGATGGCACTATCGTGTCTAACCACATTTCTAGCAATCACAGGCTTACTTCACCCCCTGCAGTTTAGTTATGAAGAGAGTGATGAATTGGAACATCAGCCTACAGCCACATCTAGGCACTGTTTTGGTAGCTTGGTAAACAAGATATACACCCCCACAAGTTAAAATAGAAGTGTTAAAAATATTGAGAGAAATTAAGAGAGTGGTTAAAAAAAGAAGTAGTAGGAAAAATGTACTTGCAACAGTGTATATCACTGCAGACTCAAGGTTTCCTTCATTTCTTACCACGAAATAGGGACAATTTTAAGACAAAACAAAACAAAAAGGGGAGGCCAAGCTTTGACTGCCGACTATGAGGCTCAGGAACTGATGAGTAAGATGAATGGAAAAGATGCATTATTTCGGGAAGTTCACCAAAATACTAAGCCACTTCTCAGTTCAGTCCAACTGCTCTACACTATGTGAGTCAAACATACAGAGACATCTTAACATCCACTACCTGCATGGACAATTTCTTCTGCACAGAGATCAGGTACACAGGCTGAGCTCACACACCTTCCAACATCTCTCTCTCCTTCACAAAACAGGAGAGTTGCTGTGAGTAGATAAACATTGACCTACAGAGCAGCAAAAGGGGCTTTTGCTTTTAAAAATATATGTATGGTTTATTTCTCAACAGCAGAACTTCCTTTTATTAAAACTGCATCTTATTTTCTTTGGTTAACAACAAGGATTATAAAATGCTCCGAGCAGCAAGATTTAATCAAATTTATACAATGCAGAGGAACAATTCACAACTTGCTGTATATTCTGGCTATAATGTTCTGCATATTTTCAAAGTAATACAAAATACTGCAGAGCTCCCCACTGTTTGCCTACTGCTAAAAATCATTCTTAAGACTAATCTTAAATCTAAAGTGCTTCAGTGGGCATTGGTAATCACCCTTGTCTCATCAAAAGCAACAGGCCTTCCTCCTTTTTCACTGTGGGTCTCGTGAAGATTTCCTAAAACATAACATGTAAAGAAGATTTAGCTTAATGAGATCTCAGTAACATCTCTAATTCCCATTGCTTTTAGAGTATGCTTTTCTGTTATCAGAAGCCTACCATACAGCTCCAAAAATTTAACACAAAACAAAACAGATCTCCTAAACTCACAACACACAGCAATACCATACCACCTATGCCAATAAGATTGCCTAGTTTGCAATTTTCCAATAGGCTTGATGGCCCTAAGTAAAAGACTGCTGTGTTTTCTCTGAATATACAAAATCAGATCTGTACGATCAACGTAGCACCAATGACATGTCAGTAAATGTCTTTTCTGATAGAATACAAGTAAGGCACTAGAAAAGGCAGATGTGCAAATTCATGAAAGCATTATAGCAGATTGCTGATTAAAATAGTTCTGGGACTGGTCTGAAGATTGAATTGTTACTCACATGGGGAAGAGTAGCATTGATGTAATGAAGATGGATGTTCATTACATCAATGAAGATGCATTTTGTAATTATTTTTTACTAAGCTTTTACTCCCCAAACAAATCCAGCCTTGAAAAAACAGATTATCCTAACAAGATAACTGAGTTACTCCACGTTTTCTATAAGAAGACTGACATAGCTGTTCAACAATGGCCAGGGTCACAGGGTCAGCAGAGCACAGAAGGTGTGTACAGCACTACATTACATATATATCTATATACCTCTATGTATGTGGTTTTGGCTGGAGTACAGTGACATTTCTTCACAGTAGCTTGCATGGTGATACGTTTTGGATTTGTGATGAAAACAGTGTCAAAAACTGTTCTGCTTCTCATGCCACCCCACCAGCAAGAAGGCTGGGAGTACACAAGAAACTGGGAGGGGACACAGCCTGAACATATGACCACAACTGACCAAAGGGATATCCCACACCATATGGCCTCATGCTCAGCATATAAACTGGGGAGACAAAAAAAGAAATGGGAGTACATTCAACTTTATGGTGTCTGTCTTCCCAAATAACAGTCACATGTGATGGAGCCTAGGGCTAAGCCACAAGGAGCCATTCCAACTCTTGGCTTAGTTTTTGGAAGCAGTCTGTTGAGCAATAGCACAAGCAGAAGCTTACATTCATTCCTACCCCATCAGGTAAGTAAAGAGTGTTATTCCACAAGACTGAGATGTTGTCCTACACCTCCTTAGAAGGCATAATACTGCTTACAAAAAGCAAAGGCAGCTTATTAAATATCAATGTAGTGGATCATGCAATACCCTAGCAAATGTATTTTGAGCTCACTGGCTCAGCAAGCACAAATGCAGAAAAGCTGCTCTGAGTTTTCAAGAATCTGAACTAGGGAGAAAAATGGGGGTTTTGGGAGACAGACAGAAGGAAGCCATTGGACAGGAAGAGTAAAAAAACGATTGGGCTTTACTTGTGTAAACACAGATGTCTCCTGCCACTCTGGATGCCTTAGGGAGCTGGAATTTGTACATGGCTAGCAGCTTTGACAGAGGGCGTAGGGAGAGACATACCTTCTGAAGGGACAGCCAGAAGCCTGACACCACACTCCAGGCATCTTTAAAGTAGCAGTGGGTTCTTCAGCAAAGGCAAGTGAATTCCACCCACAGAATGGTAAAGAGGAAAGAAATGCCACAGAGGGGAGAGGAATGAATAGCAACAGGGCCCCAAGGTACCTTGAAATAAAACAGTGACACCAATCTATGAAAGAGGGTAAAGGATGCTGTCACCAAAAGGTTAGTCAAAGTCATAAATTTTAATTCCTTGCTTTAACTGTAATCATTGTTTTAACTGCTTATGCCAGAAGCCTAGAATATTCTATGGCAAGTGACAGACTAATTGAGACTTCAGGCTTGATTTCACACTGTGTCCTAAGTTTATTTCCAGGATTGTCCCAGAAATACAACAATTTGTATTTTAAGCTTGAAGAGCTCCACACAAGGAAGGCTGTGATTGCCCATTACATCCTGCACTAATAGTGTTATCTAACCACAGAGACATCCCAAATACTTAACCAAAGCAAACTAGTAATGAGACTTAAAGAGCATAATTCTATGCTCACCGTTCAATTTCATGAAATATGTGCATAATGAAATGCAACTTTTCCCAGGAGATTTGATTCTCGTATTTAGAGGGTCTACCAGTCCCATTACCTGAGAAGGCATTACAGTTTTTTTCCTCCCAACAGACTGCAGAGGAAACAAGGCTCTGTAAAAGCTTTTTCATTAACAGAACAGTTTTGCAGATATGACTTCAGCAATCCTACCTAAAAGCAAAAGAACTAATTGCCTGCTGGAAGACTGTACTTCAAAAGCAAATCTGGCACAAATAAAGAGCACAGTGATTTAGAAACATCTTTGTTACACTTTAAGGCAGCACTGACTTGTTAGGTTTAAAACATGATGCTAGTTTTAAGCATCATGCCATTACTTTCCATCACAAATGTCTTCCTTACAATTGCTAAAATAACCCACATTTTGAAATGCCCTCAGATCCCCAAGGAGACAAAAATTCTATTTATAGTGGATCAAA